CCGTGGCCCTTGAGGGCGAAGGGTCTAATTGTTTTAGTATCACCCAACTAGTCGGACAGAAAAGGCAATAATAAAGTTAGCAAATGCAAGGTGAAGAAACATTTATTTGGGAATAAAACGAAAGAAAGCATCACGCTCGATTGCACGTATTTCGCTACTCGAGGACTATTACTAATAGTCCTCTAGTAGCGTAGCCAATTAAAATGCAGGATTTGCATTAGTCCACTAGTTGGATGATACTACTAACAATTATTCCACGAACGCGCGTTGGATATATAAACAATAAGCTTCATGATGTCCGCGGACAAATATCCGAGCTTATTTTTGCGCCAAATGGAAGCCATTGTGTTTATCATCCTTCAAATATTTTGAAAACTGGGAAATATCTCTCAGATATTCCCCAGTTTTATCTGGGGGCATATTTGGTCACGTGACACGTTTAGGTCAATTGTGCGCGAGAGAAAACATTTGATGGCTTGTAAGAGATGATAGATAGCCAACGAGGCACACGTCGAGCTGGGTGTGCTATAATCATCTCATATCCAACATGTGCGAGTGGAATTATTATTTTATTAAAAACGCCCCCAAAATATAGAAAACTAAGATGAAACATAAATAAAAACACCCCCTCCCCAAAAAAATAAGACAACCAAACAAACAAACAAACAAAAAAAACCAAAAACAAAAAGTGTTTGTACGCTCACCATGTTTGTGGAGCATGGTGTAATACCTCTCACAATAAAATATTTTTGCTCGCGTGCGATTGGTCTAAACGCGTCATGTGACTGAATATTTCCCAACTTCCTCAATTTCCAAACCCGTACGTGTTGCAAAAAATATTTGAATCGAATTGCATTATCCAATGATTCAGGTTTTTATAACAATTACAATCGGTTCGACAGCTTCCTTGTCTTTAAAAAAAATGTTAATCCTTTTAAGGACTTCCTTTTGATAAGTTTTCAAATAGAAACGACTGTCTCGTCTTCAACCACATAACATGAAAACTCTCTGTATGAGATTGATGGTATAAAATACACAATAAACAAAGCAACCTTAAATGTTTCTGTCCAAAAGGTACTTTAATACTTTCAAGTGCTGCAGAGTATCTCACCTGCTAGGAAGATAACTCTAATTATTTTAGAAATTAACCTTAATCATTTCAAGTAAGTGATATATTTGAATGTTTTTTTGAACTTTACAGGGAGAGTTACTCCTATATTAATGGAAGCCCTAAACAGTACCAGAAGTTTTTGGGTGCAGTTCGAATTCATTCACACCCCTGGGGCCCATTTCTTGAAAGCCCTGAAAACTTTTTGGGCCTGCAAAGCCATTTTTAGTTCATCTGTATCTAAAAAGAGAGAGGTGTATACACCTGAAACTTCTTGTATGAAGGGAACTCCTGGTCATATTAATAACACAGCTCTGTAATCAAAAGGTTTGAGATTTTGCTATGGCTTTCTGGGTGCAAAAACTTTTCGGAACCTTTGAGAAAAGGGCCCCTGGTTTTTCCTGCCTTAGTTACTAGTATAACTTCCACAAAGATACTTTTAATTGTAAGCATCAATCTCTGTACTGCAATGCAAAAGGAACTAAATAACTGTTTCTACAGAGCACTGAACTTCCAAATACTCAACGAGCATGAAATAGAAAGATTCTGGGAAACAATTGTTGATGAAACAACATTTGGGTAAAAATAATATTCCACCACAAATCTATCCATTTACCAGTTTATGTATATCTAATAGCCCTTCTGCTTACAAACATACTTTTTAGTAATGAACTGCTACCTAGTTCTTTCTGGGAAAACCCTCAAATTCTTAATCATATCTAAAACGAAATTCTTGATTGTGATTGGTTCTCCTCGCACCTATTTGTCACATAATCAGCGTGCGATCATGTGGGTGTCCAATTACAGGTATCCAATTTGAACTTTTTATAACTGGACACCTGTGTAATTTGCACGTCAATTATGTGTGCCTCGTTAATGGCTTCTCTCTCAATGATCCCTACAGTTTTTAAAACTTACAAAAAGCGCTACAAACTTTTTTGCTCAAAACAAGTTCTCAAAAGACATTTTTTATTCCGAAATTTGTTTTAGATACGATTAAATAGTAATTGGACCTTGAGATGTACAATTTAGGGAGTAATTGTGCTCGTAATTTCAAATCGGCCTTGCACTTCGCATTCATCTGATTTTCAAATTATTAGTGCGATTACCTCCAATTCACTCCATTTCACTCCGTCCAATTACTATTATAAATCTACTCCTTATTCTCCTAAATCAGGAACTTGTTTTCTAATCCCTTCAAGCTCAAAATATCTATTCACCTTACATGTGCTTCACTACTACTTTGGAGAATAAATAAGTACCATAAATCCTCGAATCACCGGTAACGCCTCCCTTTCAAATAAGTGCCCCCTTTGAATAAGCGCCTCTCCTATCGGCCTAAATTTAAAATAAGCACCCCCTTTCCTCACCCCATTTTGTGAACAAGTACTGAGACAACAAAGGATGTATAGTTTTTGTCGAGTAGTATTAGATTTGTACATTGTTTCAGTTTGTGAACACGTTAAGTACTAATGGTGCCGCGATTTAAACTTTAGGATCAGCTTTTTATCTCGATAAACAGCGTATGCTGTTGTTTACGCGCAGTTGATATATTAAAAAAATTTGATCATGTCAGGCCACCNTCTTCAACCACATAACATGAAAACTCTCTGTATGAGATTGATGGTATAAAATACACAATAAACAAAGCAACCTTAAATGTTTCTGTCCAAAAGGTACTTTAATACTTTCAAGTGCTGCAGAGTATCTCACCTGCTAGGAAGATAACTCTAATTATTTTAGAAATTAACCTTAATCATTTCAAGTAAGTGATATATTTGAATGTTTTTTTGAACTTTACAGGGAGAGTTACTCCTATATTAATGGAAGCCCTAAACAGTACCAGAAGTTTTTGGGTGCAGTTCGAATTCATTCACACCCCTGGGGCCCATTTCTTGAAAGCCCTGAAAACTTTTTGGGCCTGCAAAGCCATTTTTAGTTCATCTGTATCTAAAAAGAGAGAGGTGTATACACCTGAAACTTCTTGTATGAAGGGAACTCCTGGTCATATTAATAACACAGCTCTGTAATCAAAAGGTTTGAGATTTTGCTATGGCTTTCTGGGTGCAAAAACTTTTCGGAACCTTTGAGAAAAGGGCCCCTGGTTTTTCCTGCCTTAGTTACTAGTATAACTTCCACAAAGATACTTTTAATTGTAAGCATCAATCTCTGTACTGCAATGCAAAAGGAACTAAATAACTGTTTCTACAGAGCACTGAACTTCCAAATACTCAACGAGCATGAAATAGAAAGATTCTGGGAAACAATTGTTGATGAAACAACATTTGGGTAAAAATAATATTCCACCACAAATCTATCCATTTACCAGTTTATGTATATCTAATAGCCCTTCTGCTTACAAACATACTTTTTAGTAATGAACTGCTACCTAGTTCTTTCTGGGAAAACCCTCAAATTCTTAATCATATCTAAAACGAAATTCTTGATTGTGATTGGTTCTCCTCGCACCTATTTGTCACATAATCAGCGTGCGATCATGTGGGTGTCCAATTACAGGTATCCAATTTGAACTTTTTATAACTGGACACCTGTGTAATTTGCACGTCAATTATGTGTGCCTCGTTAATGGCTTCTCTCTCAATGATCCCTACAGTTTTTAAAACTTACAAAAAGCGCTACAAACTTTTTTGCTCAAAACAAGTTCTCAAAAGACATTTTTTATTCCGAAATTTGTTTTAGATACGATTAAATAGTAATTGGACCTTGAGATGTACAATTTAGGGAGTAATTGTGCTCGTAATTTCAAATCGGCCTTGCACTTCGCATTCATCTGATTTTCAAATTATTAGTGCGATTACCTCCAATTCACTCCATTTCACTCCGTCCAATTACTATTATAAATCTACTCCTTATTCTCCTAAATCAGGAACTTGTTTTCTAATCCCTTCAAGCTCAAAATATCTATTCACCTTACATGTGCTTCACTACTACTTTGGAGAATAAATAAGTACCATAAATCCTCGAATCACCGGTAACGCCTCCCTTTCAAATAAGTGCCCCCTTTGAATAAGCGCCTCTCCTATCGGCCTAAATTTAAAATAAGCACCCCCTTTCCTCACCCCATTTTGTGAACAAGTACTGAGACAACAAAGGATGTATAGTTTTTGTCGAGTAGTATTAGATTTGTACATTGTTTCAGTTTGTGAACACGTTAAGTACTAATGGTGCCGCGATTTAAACTTTAGGATCAGCTTTTTATCTCGATAAACAGCGTATGCTGTTGTTTACGCGCAGTTGATATATTAAAAAAATTTGATCATGTCAGGCCACCATTTAGGAAAAATTAAATAAGTGCACCACCTCGAATACGCGTCCCCCCATCTTCTCCTAAATTTGAAATAAGTGCCCCGGGCGCTAATTCGAGGATTTACAGTAAATCAAGACAATATCCCCCCTTTATGATTTTCAGTATTCTCACCAATAGACTACAAGTAGTCCTTCTTTCGCTTGGTCTGAAAGAGAGACTACTCGTACTCTATCTCACCACATGTCAGCCTGACATTCTATTGATATTGAAAGGAAAAAGTATTTTTCAATCAATTTTGGGCATTATACACCCAAAATATTGGTGGCCTTTGCCAAAACAGTGAGTTTGCACTGGTTGCATCTCACTTATTTGACAGCTAACAATATTACGAAAGCTGTAAGGATTCGTACCTAGAGTTTGCTTCACATTGGCACACACATCATTGTTTGAATAAAACTCATTTTAACTTTAATACTAAAGTGTAATCAGAATTCATTCATTCCTTCCTAAATCATGCTAAATGTCTGGACTTATTAATCTTTTTTTTCTTTGTGTATACATCCACCCCAGTCTAATCCACTGCAGGCTGCTGACACAATTAAGTAGAGAACCACCTGTAAAATAAAATTGATGTCAGTTACTTCAATATTTGAACATCTTCAGTGGGAGATGCAGGACTATACATGGGTACTGGTCTGTTCCAGGCTCTTGGTAGTTGGGGATGAGTGAAAAAAGAGGTGAGTGAGCAAACAAAGGAGGGGAGACTGAGGAGAGGAAGGACCTTAGTGCTCCCCCGTTTTATCTCTCACTCGTCATCTTTTCTCCCCAACAACTGAGAGCCTGGAACAGGCTAACTTGGGTACCAGTGCCTCATTGTGGCAACCTGACAAATGTTAAGATCACCTGGAATTGACTGGTATCAAACTCAGGAGAATAGTCAGTGATAACAGGAGCATATCACTAGGAGCGTGCAACTCCCATATTAAGCCTATGTCACAGCATTTTTTACAGACCAGTCTATTTTTAGGCATTTTTTGTCAGTTCCGGTCTACATCAGTGCACATCGGTAAGGAAAAAATGGCTGGTTTTCTTTTTAATCTTCCAGTGAAATGATGGCGCCAGATAAAAATTAAGTCAGTGTTTGTGATTGGTCACTGAGGAGCTTGTGGGGGTCTGAATTTGTGGTAAATTTAAACTAAAAATAGATCAGTCTCTGAAAACACCATGACAGGAATATGGGGTAGTTGTACACTCCTAATGATGGGCTCCTGGTGATTCTTGTGGTGGGGTGATAGTACTGTCTGAGACACTGGCTAAGAAACTAAAGAGCATGTTTTAAAACAATTCAGATTTTACAGACTAGCAACATACCACACTAAAAAAGCCTGTAATAATGCACTTACTATGATAACAATGACAAGTATAATGGTGATTTTGACGTTTTTCCACCACATGGCTCTGGCTAGACCTTTGCTGGATTTCTTGAAAGTGAGGGACTGGGAAGTCAAAAAGAACAACATATTTAATTACGTAATCAGTGTCACTGCCACCAAAGACAAAACATGAGTCAAATGATGACTGATTCTATCCTAAACTCAGAGGTTTAATTACTGCGAGAGGAAGATCAAGATGTATTATGAATATCAAGCAGTGAAGTTCATTCTCTGCTATGATCTTCTACCACACCATAACAATGCNGAAACCCGTTGAAACCCTTTTTTCTTTTTTTTTCAGGCTTCTTCTTTCCAATTGCTTAAATTGGAAAATTTACTGCGATGATCATTCTTCACTTTCATCTACAACCGCAAATCATATATGAATTATTTCATATATACTTCACATTACTTATCACTACTGACTGAAAACTTACAGTGGTATTTAGGTCTTCTGCTTTGTCAATCAAGAGTTCTAAACGTTCTCCTCTTTGTGCAATGGTGTCTGTTGTAAAAAAAGACACTGAAGTTTTATTGTATTTTCCTACACATGCCACAGGTACTTTTGTGTCAACTAGAAATTAAACACTTTTCTCAAAATGATTTTCTGCAGTTTTCCACTGTCAGTGTATGGAAGAAAAACAAATGAAAATGATTGAGATCAGTGCCTTGAAATAATACCAGTTTCTTCAAAATGGGACGAACAAAAAATCAAGCACTTACCAATATTTTTCACCATGATTCCCTTGAGTTCATCTAGTTCTCCTTGTACCTTGGATAAGTTATCTGATTGATTTCCAGTGTCTGAAAAGTGTTTCTGTTTGAACAACATGGGAACAGTTAGTGCTTGACCAATAAGATTTCTATGACAGGATTGCTGAGGTTTAAGAACTGGGATTTATATAATATTTTTGTTGATTCGGGGACTGCAGAGACTATTTTAAAGTGGTAGGGTTAAAAAACCTGGCCAGAGCAAACAAGCATTAGAGGTCACTTTTTCACCATTTATCATGCATTTGCATGCCCTAAAAAATCAACCCAAGCAAAACAGTGGTAGGGCTGTAGCTCTACCAGCCCCTCTTCCGCTTTGTCCCTGTAATTTTGATGAGTAGCTAAGTAGAACAATTGGTCTAGATCCAAGAAAGGATGAAAAGATTCTGTCTGTAGCAAATATGTGAGGCACTTCCTGAGGATCAATGACAGCAGTGTAAATATTAAACACATGTTGTTTGGCCGAAAAAAGTCTCATGCCTGATATGATGGTGAGTGATCAGCTATGCAATGTTAGGAATAGACCTAAGTTAATTTTTAGAGGTGGAATTCTGACCAAAATACCCTGGCTAAATGACAAGCAGGCTATTTTGATTCTGTGACTAATGCACTATAATCAAGATGCAAACTATACATACCATTTCAGCTGACAAAACCCTTGAAAATTCACTGTTCATTGCATAAGGCAGAGCCGTCTGAGCTCGGCCATGATATGCACTTTGAAAACTGTCAATTGAAAATAAAACTGATTATTTATCCAATCTTGAATGCTAAAATATAAAACTAGTTAAATTGTTAATGTTAAGAGGATGAATAAGCGTGAATTAAAGTAACATTTACAAAAACAATGCACAAGAAATTTCCATAATAAGAAAAATTATAAAAAGTTATTATACTCTTGCAGCTTACCGTTTCTTAATCTCTGTTAGGTACATAAAGGCTTTTGACCTTTCGAAATCCTTTAAAAAAAAGAAAAGAAAAGAAAACAGAACAACTTTTTTTAAAATAATGGTTACTATATTTCAATATTTTGAAGTGAATTCAAAGCTCTCGCTAGATCTAACTATTCACAAAGGCAGAAAAATCAGATTTGAACTATGTTTATGGTCTTACGTCATCTGTAATGCAGAGGTAGACAATCCTGTCTTCAGATATGTAATGAAACAAGTAGCTGCCAAATTGAGAAGGTATTAGTAAGAGCTTTTATTATATGGCTAGCTCTGTGAGCGGGCAAGATGAATCAAATCCTGCACTGTAATTGGCTATCCAACGGGCAGGATGGAGCAATCTTGCCCGCTTGGGACTACCCGCTGTGTCCTGGAAGAAAAATTTCCCCGAAAGCCATATAATGAATTCTTTATTGACCAAGCTTATTCAGTCAAGATGGCTGGATGTTGGCCTCATTCTTTTTTTGCGAGTTTATGGACCTCAACTCCGTCTTGGTCCATAAACACGCAAAGAAAGAACTTGGCCAACATCCAGCCATCTTGACGTCACACTTGGTCAATAACCCATATTTATTCTTTTGTAGTTAACAAAATGGCATCTTACAAGTAGACATATAATAGATCATACGATGAAATGTGTTGAGTACATATGGAGTTTAATATAGCTCTGTTTCATAAGCCAACACAAAGTTAGCTCGCTCATCAGTTAGTTTCCATATGCATTGAGGCCTTCCAAAATGTACATCAACAATATGATCATACAAGAATCATAGCAGACTGTTATAAAACACCATAAAAAAACCGTTACAATGAATCGTTGCATGTTTGAATGAACTTATAAAATTTGAAAGCTTATGTGAGTGCTACATAATTGTACATGTTGACATATATGTTTAGTAGTGAACAATAACAACAAATTATAGAGTGTTTATGTCTCAGAACTATCGGTCTGGTAGTTATCCCCTGCAAATTGGATGTTCTTAAAACTAGCACATTTGCCCTTGAAGCTCTGCTTCTCGGGCAGATATTTGTTTTAAGAACATCAAATTTCTGCAAGGGAACTATCAGCCAAAAGTTCCTGGACAGAAACACTCTATTGTTTAAATGGAGAGTAACTAGCATAGCTAATAAGAGAATGGTATTCATGATAGAATGCTATTAGTTATTAGGTTTATACTTAGACTCAAAAGAAACACAGGAAATGTTTTCTATTTCTTAAATTATGGCAACTATGGCATACCTCCCCTGGGTATAAGTGAGTTTGGAATTCTCTGGTGGAATTCGACTCAAAATTTGTTCTGTAACCTCTGCAAAATTGCCAGCACAAGAGGCAAACTTGGCTAGAACTGTTGTTCCTCTAGCTACAACACTGTAAAGGATCGGCATGTCTCCTTCCTTAAAAATAAAAATTATAACATTTTAAATAATTAAGCTTAATTATCAGAGTTCTATGTTAAACAGACTCTGTTATGATGCATAAACCACTATCTACCGGGTGACGTGTTAGCACTTATTTACAAGATAGTGATTCATCTGGTGGATAGAATCATCTTTCCTTTAAAAAACAGGACCCCGTGTCTATTAAATCTCGTTTGCAGCGTATTTTGTCATCTTCCTTTGTCGCTAAAGAAAGAAATAAGCTCTAACTAGCTGAAGTCTTACAGTCATCAAACCTGGCCTGGCTTGCAACATGCTTGTAGAGACAGATCTTATACCCCTAATTAATGGTATGAAAATAACTAGAAATATAATTTAAGACAATAAGAATGCGTCTCCTAGTTAATGTAGGTCCAACCTTTCGTTTTTCCTTTAAAATTGAGCTTTTCTTTCTTGGAAATAGTTCCAATCTACGCCATTTACCAACTGAAATGACGTCATTGCCGTTTATGCAAAGAGCCTGGGAGAGAAGTTAGGCCGCTGTCCCATTTAATCGCATTAGCAAACCAACATGGCGGCCCGCGACGAACCTGAAGAAGCAGGAACGGTAGAAAAAGGACGCCGGTTGGAAGTGGTAGGTGGCGATGTTCATGAAATCAATATGTGAAATTTGTAACGGTAGTTATCTCTGGGTGGTTTTCGTGGATTACAACCTGTATTTGGTCGATCGTTTTCTCGTTCCAGATGCCGACAGGTAGCGAAGACGACGAAACGTGTGCTACATTTGTTCTGCACGAGGAGGATCACACTCTCGGAAACTCGCTGAGATATATCATCATGAAAAAGTATGACAAATAGTTTTACACATTTTAATTTGGGGCCGGGAGAAGTTGTTCACTTTGTTTAATGATATAAATATGTTCTTATGCAAAGATCCGCAAACAAATACGTTTTGAAAATTAATGTTGATGTTTGTTTTTATTTGTTGAAGTCCTGATGTAGTATTCTGTGGGTACAGTATTCCTCATCCATCAGAGAACAAAATCAATCTTCGGATCCAAACAAATGGTAAGATGCCAGCACAGCAGAGTAAACCCCAGTGGGGGTGGGTGGGTGGGTGGGTGGATTCCCATATAAAACGGACGGCGGTGCTTGTCGGAAATTTTTAAAAGATCCCCTAAGAGGTACCAAGATCCTGTTTAGTGGCTGTGGCTTGTTTTTTTTTCACCCCTAAGAGGTAGCAATTCTAAAACAACACATTATCTCCTGTCATATTTTTTTGGCTCAATACCCTAGAAGGTACCACTAAAGCTCCTGCCTTGGATGTTTTGAGGATAAACGCCCTAAGAGGCACCAAAAGTGCTTTTTTGATCCCTTAAAAGTATGACGAGCACCCCCGTCCTTTATGTATGGGAGTGACGCCCTAGGGGAGTAAACATTGAAAGTTCTACAAATGCAAGTATATTATCCAGGGTGAAGTAGTATTTTAGCCAATTTATCTGTTAATCTGTTTCTGTTTCAACCTGAAGGTACCACACTACTGAACAGCATCATCAACCATCTTCATCAATCTTTCAAAATTGTGTTTGGAGTATTTTTTTTTTTTCACCAGATTAAAATAGTCAGCCTCTGTCATTTTTGATGCCATTGAAATTATTGATATTGCATGGTGAAGTGAAATCTTATTGCTTTACTGGAAGTGAAGTGTTCCTGAAAGTATGTTTAATTATCTTTAGTAGTTTGACAGTGATTTACTTCATTTCGACATGCTTCAAGTAATATAATAGCCAAACTCTTGCATGTAAACAAAAACAAAGGTGTGGCTGACTAGGGCCTTTTAAGTTACCAGGGAGTAATAATACATTCTTACACTAATTAATAGTTCTGATTTGTCAAGGTACTCCTGCTATAGATGTGTTGAGAAGAGGTTTATCAGAACTCACTGCAATGTGCGAACACATGCTGGCTACATTTGAGGTTGGCCACAAACAAATAAACAATTACCATGTAAATTAATGGATTTAGCACTACTGTGCTTAAACTTGTGAAGGTTCCCATCTGATGGAAGTCTTGTATTGGTTAGCTGCTGTTTACAAAGCACAGCCAAGGAGTTGAACTCAGGATGCATTGAGTCACAGGATAGAGGATTATTTCAAACCACAGAATCCAGGACCCTAAACAATTCGGCCACCCCTACCCACATGTTTAAAAGTTAATTTGGCATGTATATGTAGATGGCTTTTGGCCTTTAGGATGAATACATTTGTACATATTTCTTCTTTTGGTTTTATCAGAAGACATAATCAACTGAAGTGGACTGTTGATAAGCCTGAAGCAACAGTTATCAACTAGCGACTGTTACATTGATGAAATAACCTTTTTAGTTTGACAGTTGGTACTAAGAATGAATGATGTGGCATGGTTGATTGAGGAAATGTCCATACCCACCTCAGGGAAAGACATTGGAGGGGTTTTTTAAAACCCAAGGTTGAAATCAAGTTTGAGGGAGAAGTCTTAATTAACAACTAAGGAGTTAGTGCAGGTAATTATGTGAGAAATTTTGTTGAAAAACTTTGATTTCTCTTATTTTACCACAGACAGCAGTTGAAGAATATAAAGAAGCTCAACAAAATGGTGATTTTGACATGTCAGCTGCTGATGAGTGACAACAGTCAGCAGAATTACAGATTAATGAGAAAACTTATCACAAGATAAAAAAGGTCCAAGATTGGCTTGAAACAGAATCATCTCTGAAGTGACTGAGTTTTAGAGTACTTAGTGCAAGCTGAAATTCAACTGAGTTTTTATTTTCTTTCAGTGGCGCCAACTTTTCAAAGTTTATAAGAACAACAACAACAACACAGCAGTTTGTTTCATGGTATTTGATAAACAGTGCCAGACTGTTTTGTTGCCAACTTTGCCGATGGTAAAACTATCCAACTGTTTCCAACAATTGGGTTTTGTTTTCTTGAGATTTTCAGAGTTTCCTGAGGTAAACTTGAGGGAAATGTTTTATTGCAAGGGTAACAGGGGTAACAAGCACGCAAGTGATTTGTAAAATAGCTACCAAAAATAAATGAATAAATAAATAAAGGAGAATCAATTAAAAACAAACCAAGCAAATTAATTACATTGCCCAGCATTAGCTATCGTTTACTGTATTTTGTTCACATGGGATACATTTGAATTTAGTCATTCCCATGTGGTAAGATGCCTTTGGTGTCAAATTTCCATGTTTGATCCAGTTGCATATTTTAGTCTGTACTTAGCTCTTGCCATGTTAAGCACTCAAGGAACCCCCCCTCCCCCCCAATTAGAATTGTTTAAGGTAAAAAATATTGCAGCAAAATGGGTTTCTCACTGAGACAGTGGGAGTTTCAAGATCTGCTATGTTTGAGGGGGCAGGAGCCTACTACATGTTTTGGAGTGTGCCACTTCATGTTGGAACCATTTGGGATGTGCATTCAGGGTTCGTACGGGTCCTGGAAAACCTCGAAAGTCCTGGAATTTTATTGTGGCATTTTCCAGGATTGGAAAGACCTGGAAAAGGGCTACTGGTCCTGGAAAATTCTGGAAATATGTTAAACTCAAGTAAAAAAACATGAAATGTATGGCAGACAGTAAGGAGAATCAACATTAAGATAATGGGAGTGAAAGGGTTAATATGAATTTTAGAGTCCTGGAAAAATCAATCTGGGTCCTGGAAAAGTCCTGGAAAAGTCCGGGAAATTTGTTTCTGAAAAAGGGTACAAACCCTGTACATTGAATATTGGTATGTATTCGTCCAAAGTAAGTGAACTAATTGAAAGAGATGGTGCTTTAGAATTTGGTTTCTGCTATTGTGTTTCTCTTGATGCGAGACTAAAAACTGTAGAAATGAACATGTGATACTTTCTTTTCTCAACAGGTATAGCCTGCATTATGTGCATAAACAGGGAAGGGTTTGGAGACGGGGAAAACTCAGTCTCTCCTCTTTCATTCCCCTTCCTTCCATCCCCACTCTCCCTCCCCTAACTCCCCCTTCCCTTCTCCCCCATTTTGTACATGTTTTGCAAGCTAAATTGGCAGAGAGGGGAACCACATGAGTGTCACTGTATTCACATTATGGTCATGTCTCCCCAGGGATCTGTAGCAGGCTAATTAACACCGACACTGTTAAAAGTATGAAAAAAATTTTGACAGCAAAGCATCTCCATGGACTTACTTTTTGGAAAACAATGTTGCATCAACACAAAAAAGACAAGAACTACAAACTGGTAGTTTACATAAAGTAAACAGTTTTTTTGACAACTGAATGGAGATAGGAACTGAAATTGAACTCAAGTAACATATGTTTGTTGTCCTGTGTACATGCTGGGTGTACTGCGTAAAACAGGAAGAAGAGTGTTTCTAGGGCTCTGGCCTCATTTTCATTATATCGGCCTCACTTAAAATATGCACGTCACGTGCTCACATGGAAACTCGCCAGAGGTGAAGACCTTCTTGGACCCAACCATCAAGACCTTGTATTTTTACCAAAAATACAATTTATGCAGATTTCAAAATTTGAGACCTAAATACAATGAACTTTTTAAACATTGTCTTTTCTATGAGCAAAAAAAAAAACACTTTAAATTTCATCATGTGGTTTTAAACAGAAAAAATCAATTATCTCATAATTTTTAACACCACAAGATTTTTCAGTTGATTTATCATACATCAACTAATTTGTTCAGCTCTAATCTCCCACCCTATTAGCAGAACCTTTTTTTGGCGGTGCATATGCTTTCCGTGCGAAAAAGAGGCTCTGCTCGCAGAATGCTTGTCTCCATAGAAACTTTCACATTACGCTTACCGGTCCTGTGGGTACAACTTGGGTGGTGTTTGGGTATTCATTCCCAGTCTTTCTCAAGCCAAGAGTGCGCTCCTGGCACAAAACTCACAAGCAAATCAGTAATTTTAGAACGGTAACATTAGCCATGGGACGTGCAAAGAATCTTATTTTGGTCTTTGTAGCCATAGTTTTGACAGCCGTGCTGTTGAGACGACTGTTAGGTGTTTATGGCCTTGTAGTTCCTCTTCTTTATATGTTCTTTGACGTGAACTGGAGTCTTCGTGTCACATGGATTGTTTTGAAGAAGGTTATTTTCAGTAGAGGATCAAACCATAATTTCCTTGATGTTTCTGAGTCAATCTTCATTGTTCTTCCGTCAGATATGGATCTTAACCTTCACATGAATAATGCTAGGTGAGTTTTAGCCATTAAGATTGGCTGATTTAATGCAAGGGAAAAGACGTGGAAAATTGCTTCTAAAATTGTCTCTCATTAATAAATAATATGTCATGGGCCATGGGGATGTGTATTACAAAATTACTTGAATGGAAAGTGAATTACCTCATGACAATCAGGTTGCAGTGGATTTTGACTGGATGTGTCCACAGTAACAAGAAATCATTTAATATAAAACATAATTTGAAAACTGCAGTAACAAATACTGTTAAATTGTAAATATTAAATAAAAAGACTCCATAATAAACTTTTTTAAGTTTTACCTTCCTAATCTTTTATGAGTTGCATAGAACATCTAGGGTTAACGGTTTGGCCAAAAGATGTAATATTTATAGGCAAAGGGAGATTTTCTTCCTGTACTCTGTTTGATTTTACTGTTCTTCTGCTAATTCTGGCTAGTCTTGGACCCACAATTTGAAAGCCTGCAGGAACACATGATGTTACACACCACACACCAGGGGGGTTGGGAGGCATATAAAAAGGACTGGGGTGCTTGTTGAAAATTTTGAAAAGAACCCCTAAGATATACCAAGATCCTGTTTTGTTGGAGTGGCTTGAAATGTTTTTCACCCCTAAGAGATGTCAATTCTAAAATGACACATTATCTTCTGTAACATCTTTTTCAGTTCAATACCCTAAAAGGTACTGCAAAAGCTCCTGCTGTGAACCTTTTGAGGGTGAACACCCTGAGAGGTGCTAAAACCGTGTTTTTAACCCCTAAAAGGTATGACAAGCACCTCTGTCCTTTTTATATCATGGTAGTACCCCCCTCCCTCGGCAGGGGGGCTAGTCACAAGCATGGCTAATCTGTCATTCCAGTTTGATCTCATCTGTTGCTTCCCAGGCACATTTTCATTTGCTTGTGGTAGGAAACTGTGTTATTTCCCTGGCTGTCTTACCATAGTTAAGGAAATTATTCCTTTTGTTGACCACTCACAGGTATCTCCGTGAATGTGACTTTGGGAGAATTAAGTTTTGGATCTCTAGTGGGATGATGCATGTGATGAGAAAAAGCAATTGTGGTGTGACGATAGCTGCCTCCACTGTGCGTTATCGCAGATCATTGGAACTTTTTCAAAAAGTGATTCTAAGAACTAGAGTCTTGGCCTGGGATGAAAGTGCATTTTACTTAGAGCAGAGATTTATTACAGAAGATGGCTTTGTTCATGCTATTGTTCTGACAAAGAATACAGTGATTCAGGCAAATAAAAAGGAAAGATTTGTTTCGCCACGTGAACTGGTGCAACTATTAAGTGGATGGAATATGCAGAGTCCTATCTTGTCACATGACTTGCATCTATGGATACAATACAACAGTGCATCAAGTGCTATGATGAAAAATGCTTCATAATTACCTCCTATGAAAAGTCACCTGGAGTTGATATTCCAGTGGACACCCTTGCAATAGTATATTTGAACTTATTCCTCTTTGTACTGGGGGGGGGGGGGGGGGGGGGTGGGCAGGAGGAGGAGTAGAAAACACAAAAAATAACAGTATTATTCGAGGAATACTAAAGCATGGTTGTAACAGTGATGTAGGACTAAACGGTTGTAACCTTATCATAATTCACACTCGACTAACAAACATTTGCCATGACATAACCCGCCTCTAGCTATC